GCCGAAGTATTGACACCTTCGAAAGGTAATAATTTAATTTAATTATAATTATTTAATTGTGGTCCTTGTCTAATTATGAAGAATTTAATTGTGGTGCTAATTGATTTCAGGTAATTAAATTAAATTCTGTAATGAGCTTTGAAGTTTTAAAACTAGAATAATTTGATTGAATCATAATTAATTCTAATCTAATAGTAATTGTAATCATCGGCTAATTATGAAGAATTTAATTGAGCTATTAATTAATTTTAGATAATTTATTGAAATTTTAAAATTGAAAGAAACATTATTTAGTATAAATTAATTCAGACACAAAAGAAAAAAAATTGTTCTATTTTTAATTAATTAATATAATTTAGGTGAAATAACGGATGAATCTAATCGAAAAAAACTTCTCGAATTAATAGCAGAATGTTGCGTACAACAACAAAATTATCATTTTGCAGCAAAAAAATACACTCAAGCTGGAAATAAATTAGATGTGAATTTTTTTTAATTTATTTAGAAAAGAATGAAATAAATGTAATTGACATTATATTATCGCAATATATATTTTTATTAGTATCATTTCGAGTCCATTCTATATAGTATGTACCATTTGATAGCAAAACTTTCTGTAATTCAAAACAACGATATAAATTTTGTCTAATGTTACAGCATATTTATAGAAGAAAGTTAATTTTAAATTTATTGAAATTTCTTTGAATTTTAGTAAAATATTTAAAATAAAAAGTTTAGTTCTAGTTAATAAGCTAATAAGAAAATTTAATTCTAGTTATTAATAAACTAAAAAAACAGATTAAATAACTTTTTAACTTGTATTAAATGAGCTCAAATTATTTCATAAATTGTATTTTATAGGCTATGCGATCATTAGTGAAATCAGGCGACACTGCAAGAATTGTATTTTTTGCAAATGCTGCAAGAAAAAAGGAAATTTATATTTTAGCAGCAAATTATTTGCAAACATTGAATTGGAAAGAAGATTGTGATTTAATGAAACAAATTGAATTATTTTACAATAAAGCTAATGCATATGAACATTTAGCAAGCTTCTATGAAGCATGTGCTCAGGTATTTATTTATTTATTTGCCTATTTATGTGTTCCTTAAATTTAGCTTGAATTATTGCATATGAAGAAAATTTAGAATTACTTACTCTAAATTAACAAATTCCTTTTTAAGACTAAGCTTTTTTTGTTGTTGTTGTTGTTGTTTGAGACAATCAATAGAAAATTTCTTATGATAAAACAAAAATTGGTCGAAGTATGAAAATCACATTGATTAGAAATTAAAGTAAGAAAATATTGCGAATATAATGATAACAAATATTTGAGAAATTTGATTTATAAGTTTAATTTAAAAACAATAAGAGTAATATGATGACAGTATTTGAAATGTTATCGCTGAAATTAATTAGACCAAAATTACCAAAGAAAATATATATATGTAAAGTTAATCTTACTAAAAAAATACAATAAAATAAATAAATCTGAGTTTTTTTTTTTTAGTATTAAAAATTTTAGAATTTTGAAAAATTGTTATGTTTTTTTTTTCTTTTATTTTAGGTATGATTATTGGTTTTGACTGTATTAAGATAATATTACTATTAATTATTTTTAGTTTATTAATTTTATTTAATATAATTTTATTACAAAAATGTATTACTTATTTTTAATTCATCATATACTTCTGAAATTATAAGGAATATTTAACGGAAAAATGAATTAGCTTTAATTTCAGGTTGAAATTGATGATTATCGTGATTATAATAAAGCAGCTGATGCACTTAATGAAGCATTGCAGTGCATTGCAAAAGCATTACAAAATAATCCTAAAAATCAGGAATATTTAATGGAAAAGCAAACTGAATTATATCAAACTATTGGGAATATTAAAGAATTCATTCAAATTAGAACGTAAAAAAATTTAAAATTTTTTTTTTCAAAATCATTTAAAAAATCGAGTTTAATTTTTTTTTTTTTGTTTTTAATTTTGCTTACGAAATAATAAAAAATTTACTTTTTCAGTATTTATGAATTGGATCCAATTGATGCAATTCGACAGTTAGAAGCATTTGCAGATGATAAACAAGTTTGTAAGAATATACGACTTGGTGACATCTATGCTGTGATGATTGCATATAATGTTCACAAGGAAAACTACAAAAAAGTTCATATTTAGAATTTCAAAAGAAAAAAAAAAAGAAAAATTAGACAAACATTTTTTTTTTTTTGAATTTAATTAATTGAAAAAAAAGAGAGAACAATTTATGGAATTTTGAAAACTTTTAGGCATATTCACTAGTACAGCAATTGAAGGATCGTGAACCAAGCATCGAGCTAAATCGCTATGTCAACAAGGAAATACAAGATATCATTTGTGAAAAATTGAAGTTATCATCTTTTATCACTGATAACAAAAATCTGTCAGAATGTGATAATGATCAACAATCTACTAATGATGAAGAAGTGGATTATAGCTATGCAATGAAGCGAAATTTTCAATAGAATACCAAACATATTATTTCTCGTATTTCTGTCACGATAATCCCATACTTTTAATTAGTATTAAAATCAAATGGATAAATTTGTAAAAATTTTTTTGTTAAATTAAATTTTAATTCACATTTCGACTTCTCTGTCAGATTTAGCAAATTATAAATGTGTCAAAACAATAGTAAAAGTAAAAAGAATTGTAGGAATAAAAGTAGTTGTAAAAGTAAGAATAATTGTAAAAATAAAAATAACTGAAAAATTAAAATTAAAATTTATTACTTATTATTCATTTTTGGGAATAATATATTAGAATTAGGATCTTGAATAGAGTTAAGGATTGTTCATAAGTATTTCATAACTCAATTTAAATCATGCTTTTATTACATTGTTTTTTTTTGTTTTGTTGGAAAAATTTTTCTCAAATTTTAATTCCCTAATTTTTTACTTTGAACTTACTAGCATTTCAAAATTGATCACTGGCAGTTTTAAAATACTTAAACCAACTTCTTTCAAATATTAAAGAACGATTAATGCCTCTTGAAAACAAATTTAGCTTCAAAACAAACCAAAAGTCAAAGCAAATCAGTAACCTGAAATTTTAATAGCAATGAATAGACTAACCATGCACAGTATATAAACTCTCCAAACGCTTCATTAATTAGTTATATGCACCATCCTCATTTATTATAAGCAAGTGGATCTGAATCAGATTGAACATATTTTTATTTGCTTTTTATTGCCCTAATTTACCAGATGATAATCTTCCGACTTGCTGCTGGGACTCAATCACAAATTTCAATTTCAATTAAGTACCAATGTGTAATGAGTGATTCTAACAGGCCACATCGAACCAGTAATATCATCTGAAACTTTGGGAAGTGTTTAAACTTTTAAAAAAATAAAGAGAAGATTTCTTCAATGCTTAAAGACATTTGTAACCTCACTCCCGATCTCTCTCACTAACTGTTTGCTGAATTTGAAAACAACACAATGCAAATGTACTTCCCCGCAATTTTGTAAAAATGGACACTGTATTTATTGAAGTCCCTATTTATATCATATTTCTGAAGCAATCAAAATCTCTTAGATAGCGTCCAACATGCATGAAATTTTAAAATAAATTTTTGTTAATATAGCAGCACTACTCCACTTAATTTATTATACTGATATTTTTTCTGAAATCTGAAACCAATCCAAGTATCATCCCAAAGATCATTTGTTAGTTGTGTAGACGAAGCGTCTCTTTAGATTTATTTCATAATTAATTGCAAGAAAATTTTAGAAAAATTAAGTAACATTACATGAACAAATACAGATGAAAAAGAAAACAATAAAAACAAACCGTTACAATCTTTCAGTGGTCAGTAATATGAACAAAAGTCAGCGTTTATAATTTTGCAGTGAATTAAACCTGGTTAATATTCCTAATTTTGCCTAACAATTATGCATTATTAATGAACTTAATTAATGATATAGACTTGGGATAAAAACTACGTAGTCAATAAGAACGACATAATTTTTTTTTTTGAAGAACAACAAACATTTCAAACCAAGTTTTGAGTTCTTTCCATCAAAACATCTAATTCTCATTCTAAACAGTTAGATTAACAAATCATAAATGCGATAATTATCACGCCCAACCCCTACTCTCTAAAAAGGACAAATGCGCCCTACTCGTTTGCTTGCTAAAAGCAAAAATGAAAAGATGAAAAAAGAAATGAATATAACGAAAGTATATATATATAATTGAATGAAGGCAGTACTTGACTTGCTGTGAAGGAAAACAAATACCCAACTTGTAAGGAAGGGAAGTAATACCCAACTTGCGTCTCAAAAAGTTATATGAAGATATGTACATGCTCCCAACAGCACTCCTTGAGACTATCAGAACTGCTCTAATGCGATCGATCATACGTGCAGTTTTGCTGAATAAAAGGATAAGTGCGCCCTATCATTTTGCTTGTTGAAAAGAATAAATACTATGAAAAGAAGTGATTGCCCGACTTGCAGAGGACAGGGAGAGATCTCCGAGTACTTTTAATCATTTTATTGTTCATCAAGAGAACTGCACCAAGAACTAATATTTGTTTTGCATCTCAATCGGTAATATTAAGCTGTGCGCAGATAATTCCCATTTTCACATTCTCCGCACACTCAGACTACTCTTTGAGTGTCCTTAGGAATGCTTCAATGCGAATGGTACGTGCAGTTTTGGTGAGATGGAAGAATAACTGTGCCCTATGCTTATTTTCTAGAAGTAAAATGGCGCAGTATTAGAGAGAAGACTACTTCAAATATTATGAGATAGTCTTCTTACTGTAATTCTGCTAATCGATGTTATTTATTCATTCTAGTCTTATCATTATTATTACTTGTCTTGTGTTCTACTCATTCATAAAAGGATAAGTGCGCCCTATCATACTTTCTACTCATTCAGTACTATTCGATACATACCCTATGTATCATGACAAATATTACCAAGTTATATATCGGGACTATTATATGTCGGGAATTTTAGCTCCCTGCTATTTTCTCGTCGTGAAAGATTGTAATATTTTCCGTACTATTGCATTAAATGCTATTATACAACTGTATGGATTTAAAACTTCAATTAAAAAAGGTACTTTGCTCATATCTTCTTTTTATGAAAATTAAAAAATATATATTTTATGAGGATTGATGACTCATTTCAAGCAATCCACATTAGTTCATTCTCTTTTTTTTCAAATTTGAATAGATAATATATTTCCCTTAAGAGTATTTTTTTTTAATTTAAATACTCAGTTTCAGATTTGAGTACCAATATTATTCGGTTACTAATACAGAAGGATGTGACGCTATTAAAAGTTGGTTCCTCCAGATATTTAAAATTTTTATTAATGCATACTATGTATTTCATAAAATATTCTTTTACCTTGTGATGAGGCTAACCGATAGCAGATTGAACTATAATCAATGCACCACTTAATCAAAAAGAGAAACATATGACAGTAGTTTCATCGTATAAAAAGTATAAAATTACATTTCGTGGTGCTTCCGTAATTTTTGCTCACAAAAAAAAAAAAAAAAAAAATCATTTGATTAATTTTATGCATTTTAACAGCGTAATATCATTGTTTTTCAGTTTAAAATAAAGCTTTTGTATTTCATGTAGTTTTGGTTACCAATCGACTTTTATCAGAGGGAAATGGCGGTCGATATTCATCTGTATCCCTTTTCATGGAGTCTTCTGGAAAACTTTCTTACAATAGGTTAGATTATTTCAGGTACGATAATTCAACTGAGAAAAAAATTAAATATATATATATATGCAAAGCTATAGCAATGTTGGATTAAAAGAACTTATTCAAAGCAGACTTTAATTAATTTAAAACTTGAAATTTAAGAGGAATGGAAATGGAAGAATGTGAGAGCAGTCAGATACATTTATACCTGAAATGCATTTAGAGTATTATTAAGTTGAACATGCAATATAAATTTAAAAGAAATAACGAAACCAATAAGTAATCCAACAATTCAATTAATTCCACTGAATTCCTAAAGAATTTTTGATTAATTAATTCCTAGAAAATATCACAAAGGAAAAAAAAGTGAGTAAACAATTCAGCGGAGAAAGTGAAAGAATCCATCAAAACATCTAATTCTCATTCTAAACAGTTAGATTAACAAATCATAAATGCGCTAATTATCACGCCCAACCCCTACTCTCTAAAAAGGACAAATGCGCCCTACTCGTTCGCTTACTAAAACCAAAAATGAAAAGATGAAAAAAGAAAAAGACTAAAGGAAAAATCAGCCACAAAACTGCACGTATGACCGATCGCATTTGAGCATTTCTGATAGTCTCAAAGAGTGCTTGGAGCACGTGCATATCTTCATATTACTATTTGAGACGCAAGTTGGGTATTACTTCCTTTCCTTACAAGTTGGGTATTACTTCCCCTCCTTACAAGTTGGGTATTACTTCCTTTCCTTACAAGTTGGGTATTACTTCCCTTCCTTACAAGTTGGGCATTCATTTTCTTTCATAGCAAGTCATCTACTGCCTTCATTCAATTATATATATATTTTTTTCGTTATATTCATTTAGTCCTTGGGCTAGTGTTGGTTTTTTGTTTTTTATTGGGTGGAGGAATGAGTGGAGTTAGGGTGAATACAGGATAATCAATTTCCTAATTTACACCTACCAGGCATTCGTGACCAATCAATATCCTTATCAGACACAATATCTTGTGAATATTTGACTTTCTCCGAGATATTTGTAGTTCTGATTTCGGTGGTAGATGAATTTGATTTCCATTATAATTGAGCTGTTCAAAATTCACTATTATGCAACTCGTTTGACGAAGGCTTGTAAAATCATGACGAATTTGTGGCACCATCAAGAACATATCATGATAAAGTGAGACCTGAAACTGGTAATGCTAGACGGATCTATTTTATTATCCAATAATCAAATGGAAATATTGATCTGATCTGAAGTGTATGAGGTATGTAAGGGAAAAATTTATCACAAAAGATAAGTTTTTAACGAAAGCCATGATGATTTGTGGTAAAAACATAAGTGCTGATTAAATTTTATTATCATATTGGCATATCATGAAGGAAGACCGTGTCCAAATTAATATCGAGCAAAATGTGAAACAAGTTTAGGGCAGTTTTTGTAATGTAGTTAACCACTTTATAAGCTTTTGTTACAATTATAAAAGAATTTCGTTGCGAGGAGCAAGAAGCCCATGATTTTATAAAATTAGGTTGAGACGAGATTAAAATTGGATTGAGCCTGGATCTGGTCTGCACCGTTACTGGTTAGTGAACTGGACTGTACCTGGTTTGTGATGTGGCTTGTAACGGGATGCAATCGAAGTGCAAGTGGTTGTTGTTGTTTCTAACGCTCTAGAGACTCTTTAATGTATAATTTTGAAATTATGTATTCTGTACTATAATAGAATTCTGAATGATCGATCCATAGAATTCCATATCTTCTGTTTAGTATAGAATTCTAAATTGTCTCTAGAATTCTGGGCTGTTTTTAGGAGAAATCTGGACTGTTTTTCAACACTGTATCCTGTTAAATATTTCATTCCTTAAAGCTTTGCCATTCATCAAATTATTCATTGAAAATTCATTCTTTTTTTTTGCTTTGGAGAATGAGTAAAAAAAGTTTAGAAATTACAATTGCAAATTCCAAAACATGTCGACAGTATCAAAATAATCTCCAAATGTATCTGTTGCTAATTACAAGGAACCAAAAAAAAGTAAAATAAAAATAGTGATGTCATCACATTTCATAAATATTTTGTGCTCGAGGTTTAAAATTATTACAATTTGAAATTATTTATAAAATTATTACAATTTGAAATTATTCAAATGCAAAAATTAAAATAGTAGAGAAATACTGTATCAAAGACAAATAACATTTACATATCAAATATGTCGCAACTATTTTTATACAATAATCCATTAAGAAAGGAAGAAAAAAGACTATGCCACGATGTATAAATGATAAAGTGGCACTATTATTATATAATGGATTTGAATAAATTAAACCATCTACCATTTTAATGCTCGTATAATATTACTGGTTGGATAGCGTCTAATGAGCCATTTCCGAGTCTGAAAATATTTATATTTTTGAAATCTTTGATAATAATACAATTTCGTTCTATCTATGCATATATGAAAAATAAATGTAGTAATATCAGATAAATTTTGAATATAATTTTACGTCTTTCATTCTTTTCCCTCACCTAACTTTATCATGACATCGCTTTCCTTTTCTTCTTTTTTTCTTCTTTTATCAAAATGAAAAAATTTTTTCCACGGAAGTAGTAGTTTTCCTTAAATAATGTCATATCAAAATAACGGTAATGTTATCTATTGCAACATTACTGAGTATTCGTTTATCAAAGAAATATTTCATTTTCTATTTGTATTTGTTTATTTATCATCAATTTTACATGAAATAAATTTTTGTGCATGAAAGAAAAGAAGAAAGATTCAATAATACAAAATTGTTTAAGAAAAAATGATGTATTAAATAATTTAAGAAAAAGAGTTTTTTTTTTTGAAAATAATGAGGAAAAGAAATAGAACGAAAAAATAACCTCATTGAAAATAATAAGAATAATACCAACAGGTAAACAAAATAGCCAAACAAATGCTGGTGGATGAGTAACACTAAGCCAATGTTGCACACCTGGCATATAAATCATAAAATTGAGAATGAAAATTTCAATAAGTAGTGCAAGAACTGCTGCAATATTTTGCGTGCCATGTTTGAAAACGGAAATTCTTCTCGTTGTGCAAAGCCAAAAATGAAACACCTAAAAAGGATGAAAAAAAACTAAAAATGAAATACTTAAAATTATTCAATCATTTGAGAAAAAAAAAGAGAAGTATCTAAATTAATCTAAATAACCTAAACAAATTTATTTATACATATACATATTACTTGCCAAACAAGTTAAGGAAATGAATATCAAGCTAAAAATTTTATTAAAACCAAGAAAGAAACATCTAAATTTATTTACTAAACAAATGAACAAAATGAATATTAAACTGAAATTATCCAAAAAGCCAAATGATCGATATTACTTGAAAATTTATGATTTTGTTTTTTTTTTTTGAAAAAAAGAAAAATGGCTTTATCAGAAATTGCTCATTCTAATTTTTTTCTTTTATATAATTTGAAAAATTGTATCAGACCTGCGACATAACTAATGTAATATGCCATGCAGCTTTTGCTTGACCATGAATAAGCATTTGCATTTCAGCTGTATAATGCTTCCCGGTTGTAGTTGACAACATTTCAGCATTTGGACGCCAATGCTTATTATTTGAATGAAATAAATCACGTAGACTTATTTCATAAAACCTAGAATAGAATGTAATAATTCATTCATTTCTCAAAATATTCAATAAAAATTTGTAACTAATGAAATTGAATAATAATTACATTTATGAGTGATAAGTGAATTATGATAGATTATATTTTTTGATTTTACTCAAATGAATGTTCCAGTTTACTTTAATTTACACACTTATTTTTTCTCAACTAAATTGTTCAAAATCAATTCAAAATTAAATTTAAAATATTTTTTTCTTAAATAAAAAAAAAATACAAACCAAAAAACGAATAAATATGCAATAAAGCATCCAACTGATATAATACTACCAACAAAAATATATGAATAAACAAGAAGTGCTTTTGACACAAGTCGAGCAGTTGGTTTTCTTGGTGGTCTACACATGATATCCTTTTCACCAGCTTCATATGTAAGTGCTATTGATGGTGGTATCTCCGTGATTAAATCTATTGAAAGAACCTAAAATGAAAACTTTATTCAAGAAATTTCATTAAAAAGTTTTGTAATAAAAAAAAGTGTTCTTTTTTTAATACTAAATATTCACTGATAATATTTAGTTAACCATTTCTAATATCAGTTAAATTATCACATTAAAATGCTTCTCTGATCACTTCTTCCCATCTCTTTCTTTTCTTTTTATTAGCTAAAGATAAAAATGATCAATTATTGCATACAAATTGCAGATACACAGAAAAATAATATCAATAATTATTGTAATTTAATTTGTTATTTTCAAGTATTTCATACTAAAAGTATAATCCAATTAGAGTTTAATTTATTTTCTTTCAATCATTTTATTATTTAAAAAAGAAAAAGAAAAAGAAAGAAACAATGAATTAAAATATTTAACCTGTAAACTACTTAGACCAATTGGAAAACCAATAGCAAATGCTAGCATAACAGCACATAATTCAGGTACCATATGAGCTAATGTATATGCTATTGTTTTCTTCAAATTTGCATATAGCAATCGACCTTCCTTGATGCTTTTAACAATATGTTTAACATCACTTTCTGTATATACCATATCAGCTGCTTCTTTTGCAAATGCACTTCCGAAAATAATATTTTCTTTCTTTGAAAATTAATTTTTCTATCTCAAACAACCATTTCTTACTGATATAGAAAAAATATTTGTTTTCCATTTATTAAGTTAAATTCAATATTTTTTTGGTCGATGTATACACAATGATAACAAATACATTATAATATGATTGCTTGATTTAACAATACTTTTTAGAAGATTGATATTTGCATAAATAATGATAAATTATATTAACAGATTAATTAGTGAAATTATTTATTAATAAAGGAAATGGAAATTAATTTTATAAATAATATGCACCAACGGCTTCCATAGCTATACCAACATTAGCTTCCTTTAATGCTGGTGCATCTAAGACACCATCACCAGTAACTGCTACAACTTCACCTCGACGACGACATTCCTGAATTAATGACAAATAATCTAATTAATAAAATTTTTAATAATTTGAATTAATTTAAAAAAATTATTAATTCGAAAGAAATTTATTAATTAAAAGAAGTAATATTAAACTTAAATAAATCAATAATAGTTGGTCGATATATTATCATAATATTATTTTGATATGTTTTTTTTTTATATTACTTATATTATATACTATAAATTTTATATTACTTGTATTATGTTTAATTATATTACATAATTATTACTGTTATTGTTGCTAATTGTTATCACAGTATTAAATTATACTGTATTTTATGAATACCTTAACGATAATTAATTTATGAGAAGGTGTAGCACGAGCAAATACAACAAATTCCTGTTTCAATATATCATCCCATAATTGCTCGCTTAATGTATCAATCATTTCACAATGAATTACTGATAGCAAATTTGATTTTTTTTCCATTTCAGTATTCTAAATTAAGCATAACATTAATTTCTATTTCATATTGCAGCTTAAAATTTTCCTTTAATCTATCACTTAAATATGAGATATAATTTCATTTAATAATATCAAATTATTATCATTCAAATTCAAGCTTAAAATTAAGCTAATTAATTACATCTTATCAATCTTTACTAATTAAACCGATCTTTACTAATACTAATAAATAAATTTTTTCTAACAGTTGTAATGTATTTTTGATATTTTTTAAAGAAATGAACCACTTTTTTCTACTCCAGTTATATTAAATTAGACTGATATGATACTATGATTATTATATTGTTGCAAAACAATAAAAGAAAACACAAAAATGAAATAAAAAGTTACAACAATTAAGGAAAAACGATTATGTAACAAACCAATGAAACAATAGATGCACGTGGTACGGCTAAGCCGAAATGTCCGGCAACTGCAGCAGCTGTTGATGGATGATCACCGGTAACCATAAAACATTTTACACCTTAATAATAATAATAAACAATAACAGTAGTATTAACAGCAATTACTAGCAGTAATAACAATGATAATAATATCAATAATAATAATTACAATAATAATATAATAAAATCAATAGTAATAATAAATAATAATAATGAAAAAAATCAATAATAAATAAACAGAAATTAAATGAATGTAAGAATAACTTAAATTTACATACTACAAATAATTAAAAAAAAAAAATTAGAAATGATGAAAAATTTTCTCAAACCTGCATTTTTCATTGTTTGCAATGATTCCAGTGCTGTATCTCGTGGTGGATCATACATAGCTACCATACCAAGAAAGCATAAATTTAATCGATTTAAACCATCCCATGATCCAGAATATTCAATTAAATTTAATTCTTCAAGTTCTGCTATTGCAAATGCAATACAACTCTTTCCTTCATTACCGTACTTGGTATAAGCTTCCTGCAAATATTTATTTATCAATAATTTGAGAAAAAAAAATTTCTGTTTAAATTAATAAAGCAAAAAAAAAAAAAAATTTCAAAATATTTCTTATTAATAAAATATAATTTATATTGATATTTCAAAATTTAATACATATGTTATAGGCATAGTTTGATATTCAACTAAGTTATTCAAAATTTAGCTAAATCTTGACATTACTATGCTAAATTTTAAATCGAGAAGAAAAGAAAAAAATTATTGTTCCCGTAAGTATTAATAAAATATTTGTGATTTTAAAAATTAACCGAGAATTGAGCAATAAAATCATCCGATATTTTAATACAACCATCTTCGGTAGCTAACAATTTACAATGAGCAAATAATTCTTCGGGAGCACCTTTGACAAGAAAATACAGTCTACAATTATTTTATAAAAAATTACTGATTTATTGAATATTTAAATTTCAATTCTTTTTTATATTAGCTCGTAGATTATTATAAACAGTTTTTTTTTCCGTCTTATTTATAATAATTTATGAAATAGTATTTATGAAGTTTTAAATAAATTATTTTTATTGTAATAATCTTTTTTTTTGCGTTATCTGTATTTTTCCTTTTTTTCATCAAATTTATAAAAATTTTATAAAAAAATTCGGATTTATAATCATTTCTACTCCAACTATTTTTATGTTTAAGCATAAATTATACTAATTACATTTAATTACAAATAATTACATTTGAAACTAATTCAAATTGTAAATTTCCATCAAAAATATACCTAAAAAATTAATTAATCTACGATTTCTGCAATTGCGTTTTTTTTTTTTTTTTTTTTTTTTTTTGGATATTTTAGATCAATGACTTTTAGAAGTAATAAATTGATTCTAATAGCAAAAGTGCGATAAAATTTGCTTTTAGAACAAATAAAAAATTTTCTAATATTATTGATGGTTTACAACAATTAATTATATAATCAAAAAGATAAATTAAAATTTCAAAATGAAAAAAATGAAAGAATTAAAATAGAGAATTTATGAAGCATTAGTTGAACTTACTTTGTATTACCATTATTTGTTGAATCATTTTTAGATCGTTGACGAACGATTACCATTTGAAAGCGTCGCTGTCTATTAAATGGTACTTCAAAAATAATTTCATAATTGCGTCGAATTCTTTCACCATTTGCTAGCTAAAAAAATTTTTTCACAAATTTAAATTTTAATCATATTTTTTTAAAATAGTATGCAAAAAGAAAAATATACGAAATGTTACAAATGTCTATTTTCTAGGAAAAATGATTACAATTATGCAAATTTTATCATGAATTTCAATCATTAATATGCATTAAAATTAACAGCTAATAATTAATAATCATTTTTCCGGTTCACTATAAAGCTTTCAGATTATGAATCATCGAAATTTCAGAAAATATCGAGAGTTTTGCTAAAATTGATCAAGCAAGATTTATGAGCGAGAAGATTTACTTCTAAATATTGAAAATTAAATTTACTAGTTATTAGTCATTCATTAATTAATTCATACATCTTTCTTACTTCTTTTCTTCTCATTCTTAATTAAACTAATTGATTAGAGTAATAAAGATAAGTTAAAATAATAAAGTAATAAAGATAAGTTAGAATCATATTTTGTTAAATTTTAATCCTACATAAATAATATGATATACCTTACTTCTTCGACGTATTTCAGTAGTGCAACCTCATTTTCACTTCCAGTAATTACTTTATGATGAAAAGCTGATCGTACTGTACGTTCAACTTCAGCATCTGATATTTTTCCACGTGATATCTTTCTAAACAACAAAAAGAAAAAACATTTACTTATACATTTAACATTACAAAAAAAAAAAAAAAAAAAAAAAAAAGTTGCTAAAATTTAATTAAATTTTAATTCACATTTTTTTTTTCATTCCATAATATATGTATTAATATCACAAAAAAAAAGCAAACAAAAAAAAAACAGCAAATAAATTTCAATTAAAAATTTATTATGAAAAAAAAAATTAATAGGAATAAAAAAGATCAAAATTTAATTAAATTTTAACTTTATTAAATTTAATTTTAATATTTTTGTACATAATGTTTAACTTTAATTTTTTTTAAAAAAATGTAGTAGTATTGAAAAAAGCAGAAAAAAAAAATTTGTACGAAAATACGTACGTGAATGGAAGAATCTTACCCATCCAATAGTGATTGTATCGTAATGGTATTACTTGCACGTGAAAGTTTATTAACCATATGCCACGCATAAATACCACGTGAATTTAACGGTTCCAAATGCGCTTTATTGCATATTGACATAACAGTTAGTAATGCTACCAAAGTATCGTTATTACATTCTGATAATGGTACTGATAAATCAGTTACTGATAAATGCTTTCGTTTAGCTTTCAGTTCATCTATACCTAAATAATTTAAAAAATATTATTAAATGCAAAACTTTTTTCCATTTTTTTTTTTTTTTGAAAATTTAATAAAAAAATTTTTTTATAATTTTAATGTAATATTTTCCAAATATTTTTTTGTTTTTTTTTCCTTTTTCTATGAAAAAAATGTATAAATTATTAAAAAGGAAAAAAAATGAATGTTAAATGCAAGCGTAAATTTAAATGGAAATTAAAATACAAACAACAAAAAAAAGTTAGAATTTATTTGTAAATATTAATGTATGCAATATAATAAACATAAAACAATCAATAGGATTATTTATTCAATTAATAATCATTGGAGGAATGAAATCAATAAAATTAAAAATTTTATGAAAAAAAAATATATCAATAAATTAAATGATATATATACTTAAATTTTTTTAAAATAACAGTTAAATTACTATAGTAATAAAATAATGCAAAAAGAAAGAAAAAATTATTACGCTTTTAGTTAAAACAAAAAAAAAAAAACATTTATAAAGAAAATTAATAAAAGTTTATAAAAAAAAATTTGTTTTTTAATAATAATAATAACAACAACAATTAGCTTAGCAATGAAATAATTTAACAAACCTTTAAAGTAATGTAACTGATACCATAAATCAGAAACAGTAATATCATTTAAGGTAAAGATACCCGTCTTATCACACATTACCACTGTTGCTGTACCTAATGTTTCCACCACATCTAATCGTTTCATAAATATATTTTGTTTAGCTAAACGTCGTGCAACAATTGCTAATGCTGCACCAAGTGTAATTGGAAGACCTAAATTTAAATAAAAAATTTGCAAATTTTAACAAAATATTTGTAAAATAATTTTCACAAATTAGTGCATTTTCCTTTTTTTTTTTTTGGTTTCATTTTTGGTTAGTATTATTTTAGAAATTAATTTATACATATACAGACTAAGTTAATATAATAATAACAAGGAAACCATTTACAAATGTATTTATAAGATGTTGAAAATTTTTTAAAGTTTGAATTTACTTTATATATATATTTTTAATACATATATACACTAAGTTTAAGTTTGAATTTATACATATATACACTAAGTTTAAGTTTTTTTCTCTAAAAAAAAAATTTAAATAACTAATAAACAATCTAATTTGTTAAATTTATTAATTTATAAAAGATAATAATTTTAAACTTCTTTCTATGTTAACTAACAAAACTGATACAACAATCTTTTAATTTAATTAAAAATTCAATTAGTATAAACCTTGTGGAATATTTGCAATAATAATAACAAGGAAACCATTTACAAATGTATTTATAAGATGTTGAAAATTTGTAAGCAATAAGCCAATAACAAATGTAATCGTAGCCATTGTAATAGCTAATGTTGAAATAAAATTAACGAAACGTTTATGCTCTAATTCTAAACGTGTTGGTTCACCTTTTTGTTTACTTGTTACACGTGCAATTTTACCAATTATCTAAAAATAAAAAATTTAATTACATTTTATTACGCATAAATTAAATTAAATTATATTTTCTCACTTTTTTCTACTTTTTCCATTTAAAAAAAATGCTTATTTTTTTTAAGTTGCATTCATTTTCTATAATCAATAGGCAACTTTCTTTCTTTTTTTTTTTTATTAAATTATTTAATTATCTAATAAATTATTAAATTATGTAATTTGTACATTTCTTTTTAAAGTGAACATTATTAAATTATAAATTGTTAATGCTTAACTATTTGCAATATGCATTTCAATTAAAAAAACAATTAAATAGTTTTCTTTTTTTTTTTTATAAATTCATTTATTAAATATGTAAATATTATACAATAAACAATTTATCATTTTTTTCAAAAATTTATCGAAATAAATTCAAAGTGTATAATTATTAAAATTAAACGTACCGTTCTATCACCTGTCCTAATAGCTACACCATATCCGGTACCATTGGTGCATAAACAACCATTAAGTGCAATATTTTGTGCACCTAAAGCTGTTACATTTTTTGGTACCGTAGTATCACAAAAATCAAGTGGTTCCAATTCACCTGTTATCCATGATGTATCCAATTTTAATTCATCCGTATAAATTAATCGTAAATCAGCTGGTACACGAGAGCCAGGACTTAAAAAAATTTAACTGATAATAAATATTTTAATGATAAAACACCACCATATCTAATAAAAAAATAATAAAAAAATTTGATTTTTTTTTCTAATTTGGAAATTTATTTGTCATCAAAAATTTAAAAAGTTAAAAGAATTTCTCAAATTAATTTTATCAGATTAATAATGTTTGGTTTTTAAACCAAATTCATACCTTAGTCTTATTTTATAAATTCATTTAAAAAAAAATGAATTATATGAAATTGTTAAAAGTTTATTATCAGTAGCTCTCATTTCTCTTCATTACTCACTTTTTAGTCTAATTGGGCTCAAGAATTTTCGGCAAATTTTTTTTTATTCCTAATTAATTTTTTTTTATTCCTAAATAATTAATTAAAATCCGAAATATTTGAAAGAATACACACTACTATCAATCTTATCGTTATCATTTGTTTATCAGATATTTATCACCATTTATTATTAGCTGGATTGTATTTATCATTTGAATATTTAATTTGGTTTTTTTTTTTTTTTTTGCAGTTATAATTTTATTTGTAGAAATAATTTTTGTTTCATTAAAATTTCAATTTGTTTTTTGTCTATTAAAAAACTAATAATACTAATTAATAAACAATAAAATAAAACTAAATAACATTAATAATAAAATCAATATTTACATGATAATTTCAACTTTTTTTTTTTTTTAAATTGTCATCTTTTATAATAGCTAATTCAATTGATTATTAAATTACCAGAGATAGACGATGTCACCAATGACAACATCAGAAACATTAATACGTATACGTTCAGCAGCTCGAACAACATAACAATATGTTGTCATCATTGATTGAAAGCATTGCATATTCTAAAAATTAAAAAATTTTTTTCAATATTTCAATTTTTTGTTTTTCAAAAAAAAAAAAAATAGAATCTATGTGAAAAAAGAATTAATTAATTTTTTTGAAATAATACTACTAAAAGATTGGATAAATGTGATAAATGCAAATTTAAGTTTTATTAAAAAATAGAAAATAAGCAAAAAATAATTTTGTTATATGTATTACTGAAGATTTAGCAAATTTCATTTATAATTTAAATTCAAATTTATAAAAGTTACTTATAGCAAACAATTCTCATCTTTTATTCAAATCTTTAAGTGATCACACTTAAAATATTATCAAAAATTATCTCAAAAGAAAATTTTCTTTTATTTAAGGAAAAAATTTTTTTTTCTCCAAAAATTTTTAAAATTTTCCTATGATAATCGAATACTAATAACAATAATAATAATATGGTTTTGCTAGTTTGTTTATTTTTGATAAATTTGTGATTATATTTTGAAGTTTATCTGATATACTCAGAAATAAGTGATTTCAATTTTGATAATCATTTAAAAAAAAAAAAAGCATATTCGATTAATATTATAAATATTTTACAGTTCAACATAACACTAGTTTTTTTTTCAATCTTTTAAATTCATATTACTTACTTAAATTTTTTTTAAATTCATATCTCAATCATTTCTATTCAATTTAAATAACTATCTCATATTTATATTATTCCGCTAAAAAATCAATATGTTTTGCAGTTTTCCCTTTTTTTTTTTTTAAATTTTTAAATATAAAATTATACATCTACACTTGAAGTATCAGAATTTTAGTATTTCACTGAAATTTATTAGAATAAATAATAATAATTATAATTATAATAAAAATATAGGATAATTATTTCTGATAATAATCAATGTTCACAAGCTGGTTAAGGAATTTAATTCAAAAAATACTGATAAATGATATGAATGATATTATTATCAATTGAAATTTACCTTTTTTGCATGTTGTTCTTGCCAATAACTAACACCACAAAGGATAAAAAATATAACAATTAGAGCAATTCCAAGATAAATTTCAATAAATCGTGTTGTATCCAATGCATAAATGATAAAACAGGTAAGTGCAGCAGTTAATAACATTAATCGAAATGTATGAGAAAATTGCTTCAACAATAATTTTGTTGTTGTTCGACCAGTAACAGCGAATACAACATTACGTCCATCCGTTACCAAACGGCTAGCTGCTTCATCCTTACAAATTTTCATTTCATTTTTTTTTAATAACAATAACAATAATATCAATAATAATAATAATAGTAATGTCGTATATATTATAATAATAGCAGTAGTAGTAATAATAGTATTGTCGTAACGACATTACCAGTAGTAATAATAGTAATAACGATGATAATAACGATAATATTAAAGAAATATATTATAATAGCAATAACTAATAATAATGAAAAATTTTCATCATAATATTACTAATAATCATAGTAGTAATAAAAAGAATAAGAACAAATAAAAATCATAAATAATAATAAATAAATAAATAAATAGTTATTAATTTTAAATAGTTAAAATAAAATAAGCAAAAAAAAAAAAAAAAAAACTATAAAATTTGTTAACAAATGCGCGAAAAAAGATATAATAGAAATTTTTTTAATAATCAAAAAAAAAAAGACAAAATTATTAATATTAATGATAATAATAATATTTTAATTAATGTTAAATGATATAAATAAAATAGCATATTGTTTATACCTTATTTAAACCTTTACTGCATTCTGGATGTTCTAAGTTTATTCGTGATAATGGATGAAGATCACTAAGTTGTTCCATTGTTAATGTATGCTCGAAAAAGTTACATTCTAATTCGAGTTCCTAAAATAATGCTAATATAATTAATTGAATAAATGAAACATAAAAGAAAACTTCAAGAATTACTCAACAAATAATAAGCATTAAAAATTTTTAAAAAAAAAAATAAAAAAGGATAAAATGTTTAAAATAAATTTTAAAAAAAAATGCATCATTTTCATGATAAAATCTATATTTTTAGTATTTACAAATATTTATAGTATTTACTTATAGTATTTATAAATATTTAATCAATACATAAATAATAATTTAGGAACTAATTAAAATTAAACTATTTTATGGTAACAAAAAAGACCAATAATTAATGCTTACCTTTTTTTTTTTTTTTTCAATGCATTATTTCAATAATATTTCTCATCCTATTCAATTATTTCATTAATTAATTCCTATTCAATTATTTCATTAATTAATTACAATTATAATAATTTGAAATACCTTAAGCAAATGATTATGTACAATCGTTGATACATCAATCATATTTGCATGTTTGCCTTTTGTCATTTTAATATTTGCGTCGTCAAATATTGATTAAATTAATCAAACAAAAAAAAAAAATATCTGAAAATGATTTTAAAATATAAAAAAATCTATCGAATATATATTATATAATAAATTATTGTGTCGTTTTTTTTTTTTAAATACTTTCAAAAACGAAAGAAAGAAAAGAAAAAATGAAGTAAATTGAGAACATTTAGAAGTACAATATGACAATGTATTTAACTTTAACTTAAATGGTAAACAGTAAATTCCAATATTTCATTTTTTCTTCCTCTTTCTTTTTCTTTTTTTTTTTTTGTTTAACTTGTTTGTGATGTTTAACATAGAGGTGAGAAAAGAAAAAGGAACATAAGGTAAGAAAGAAATGAAAACATTCTAAAATTTCAAATTATTCAACAACAAAAAAAAAATATATATATATATGTACATGTATATATAAATTAAAAATAATTCAATCCATAGAAACGCAAAAAATCGTTTCTGTTTTAAATTTTATTTCAAATATTAATGTACTTATATTTATTTTAAATATAAATATGCATATCGTTTTTATATTGAATTTAAAAGAAAAAACGATGCATTAGTATTGTGTAATAAATTAATAATAATAATAGCATTAGTGTTGTATATTCTTAATAATGATAATAGCAATAATAATAATGATAATAACAATAATAGTAATAATAATGGTGATGATAGTAATAATAATAATGATAGTAGTGATAATAATAATAATAGTAATAACAATAATGATAATAGCAGTAATAATAATGATAATAATAATATGATAATAATGATTATTTAATAATATATTCAGATATAAGAAGAAACAAAAGAAGAAAAATCTTGAAAAACAAATTAATAAAATATTGTTTTTTTTTCCTCAAATCATTTGTTTGTTCAATGAAAAAAAAAATTACATTTTTTATTGTTAAATTTTTGTTCAAAGAAATTTTTGCCTTTATTTGCTTTCATTCCTATTTTTTTTCTCTTTTTCTTAATTAAAATAATCAAATTATGATTTATGGAATAATGAAATTTTGAAAAGTTTTCATTAATTTTAACAATTTAATTTTTCTTTTGTCTATTTCTCATTCAATAAATCTACAAAAAAATTTTTTTCCTCATTTTATTTTATTAACAATTATTTTATCATTTCTATCATATTTCATCAGTGCATGCATCATATTTAAAAAAAAGTCCATAACAATTAAAATGAAAATAGTAAGGTAATAGTATTCGTAATACTAGAAATAGTAATAGTTAAAAAAATGTCCATAACAATTTAAAATGAAAATAGTAAGGTAATAATAGTATTAGTAATACTAGAAATAGTAATACTTAAAAAAATGTCCATAACAATTTAAAATGAAAATAGTAAGGTAATAATAGTATTAGTAATACTAGAAATAGTAATACTTAAAAAAATGTCCATAACAATTTAAAATGAAAATAGTAAGGTAATAATAGTATTAGTAATACTAGAAATAGTAATACTTAAAAAAATGTCCATAACAATTTAAAATGAAAATAGTAAGGTAATAATAGTATTAGTAATACTAGAAATAGTAATACTTAAAAAAATGTCCATAACAATTTAAAATGAAAATAGTAAGGTAGTAGTATTAGTAATATTAGAAATAGTAATACTTAAAAAAATGAAAAGAAGGAAAATGGTTTAATATTATTAAAATATTTGCAAAAAATTTGCTTTACAATTAAAACTTGCAAAAAAAAAAATAACTAACACATATCATTGATTATTTGATAAAATTAATTTGTTGGGAGTGAAAGACAGAAAGAAAAATCGTAGGCAAATCGATTTTTTTTTTTTTTTTTTTGAAAATTGGTAAATGATAAAAATAAGAGTAATTAGCAATAATAATGAAGGCAATAATAAACAATAATAATGAAAATAATAATAAAAACAACAACAATAATAATTAAAAATAAAATTGACGATAATAATAATAGTAATAATATTAATGTTGGCAAAATCAAACATTATTTACTTTATTAAATATATACTTTTTAAGTAAATATAAAGTTAAGAATCCTTTGATTACATTACCAATATTTTTTCGTTTTTTTTTATAACTCATTGAAAAAAAATTTTTTATATTGCAAATTTTAAATTAACAATTTTAATTTACAATGTATCACAACTATGTGTGTAATATAAATTTTTTGATAATTTATGCGTAGACATAAAAATAATTAAATTCATATGACAGAGATTTTTTTTTCTTATTTTTTTCTGATTTAACATTCATCTAAATTTATCAGTCTCGAAGTGTAAACAATAATTAATATTGTAAAATGAATTAATTATTTGACTAAAACATTAATTTGAACAAAAAATTTTTTACGATTATCAGTGACAACGTTTGCTGAACGAATTAAATCTGTAAACAATTGTTGACAAATGTTGTAATTATATAATATTACTTATAATATAATTTAAGAAGAAATGATAAGACTATATTAGAAAGAATAACGAATAAAAAAAAAGAAAAAAAATTAGGATAGAAAGTATTTGTTATCAGTAATTGTTTCATTGATTTTATTCATTACTGATAATAGAACGTTTGGAACATAAATAGTTTTTGTCTTATCAAATAATCAATACAATTCATAAGTTAATAATATCAATTTTTTTATTTACTTTTTTTTAAATACTTCATAGCATTTTATAAAAAAAAAAATTATTCCAAATAATTTGTCATCAATAATTGAATTCGTTTGATCAAATATTCAAAAAAAAAAAAAAATTCTTTTTTTTAACTATAAAAACTTATTTTGGTAAATAATTTTTCTAGCCATTTCCTTCTGTTTTTCTTTTTTTTTTTGGTGAATAAATTAAAAAATTTAGGCAACAATAAATTTAAAAAAAAAATTCGTATAATTTTCATTAAAAACAAAAAAAAAAAAAGGAAGGAAAGAAAATAAAAAACTTTTTCAAATTAACAATTCCTTTTTTTTCCTTTTATTTTTAAAATTTGAAATATTACTTTTACTAACTTACAGGAATTAATATTGTGCAGAAATCATTTCGATCAATAATTTCAATCAATTAGGCGGTCATTAAAAATATAATTTTATTTAAATAACAATAACCAATCAATAATGGAGGAAAAAAAAAGCATCGATATAACCATAGTCTTATATTAAAAGCAAACAGAACAAGTTTGAATCAATTTAAAATCAAATTTAATTCCAATTTGAAAAAAAAAACAAGTTTTGAAATTCTTAGATAAAAATTCGACCGAAATTTGAAAATGAGAAAAAGTTGCAATGTTAAAAAATTTTAGCCATATATATATATTCATTTTTTTTCTCATTTAAAGGATTGATTGAAAAGAATTTAACATCTCGACAATAATAAATCATCGATAGTTACAATTTTCTCCTTTTTTTTTTTGAATTTTAAAAGAATAAAAAAAAAAGAAATTTGATGCGTACAAAATTAATTTTTTAATCATTTAACATTTCAAAATTTTTATTTTAATTTTTATTTTTTCAGTAAGCATATATATATATAATTATCATATACATAATGCATTAAATTATTAAAATAAAAAAAATTTTGAAATATTAATGATTTTATTTTGATTGTTAAATATATTTAAATAATTCATTTATATATTAATTATTTCAAATAATATAATTGTTAAAATTATTAAAGCTATTGAAATTATTATTGTTATTAATTATTGTAATCATTAAAATTAGTGCTATTATAATACATTATTATTAATTATTAAACTTATTAAAACTATTATTATTGTTTATTATTACAATTTTCAAGCTATTGTTACTCATCAATTGTTAAAATTACTGAAATTATCAAAAGAAGTTAAAAAAGAATTATATGTAAATTATTAAAGTAATTATTATTATAACTATCAGTTTCCTACTATTATTATTATTATCACTGTTATTATTATAACTAACAGTTTCTTATTACCATTACTATTACCATTATTATTATAACTATCGGTTTCCATTTATTATTACTATTATTATAACTAACAGTTTCCTATTATTATTATTATTGTTATTATTATTATTATTACTACTATTATAACTATCATTTTCCTATTACTATTATAACTATAATATTATTCACCACTGTTATAATTGGTACTCATAGTAATGGTTGTAATGATTACAGCAAGTGGTTGACAGTGTCATCAATTTGTTATCAGCAATTTTGTCATAGTAGTAGTACAGTTATTATGAATGAAAGGCAATGGTATCTATTTAAATAGAAAGACAGGGAATAGTATTATGTTTTGTAGCAGAAAAGAGGAAAAACAGAAACTAATCATAAAAAATTTGAAATTAAAAATTATTGAATAAATTAAAATTTTAATAAAGAAAAATTTATTAATCATTTTAATTGTTAATTAATTATAATTTTAACATTTAACACACAACATAAATAACAATCAACATTTTTTGTATTATTTGCTAAATAATATAATTATATTTGTGAAATATTTTGCTTCGTTTATTTTGCATATTTTAAATGGTAAACATTTTTCAATAATTAATTTCAATTCCTATTTTACATTACTATCTATTTCATTTCAAAATATTTTCTAAAATTTATGTTATAAGATGAAATTATCGACAATACAACTAACAGTTTGAGTTAAATAAAATAGTAGCAAATGAATACTATGAATAAATATTTAATTACATAAACGTTTGAATTGATAAGATAGTGCTTTGTACTAAATGATAAATTTCTTAAATAAAAAAAAAAAAAAAAAGTTTGCTATAATTTTGGATTAATTAAAATCATTTTGGTAGTATTAATTATTAACTAATTATTTCTGTAAAATTTCTATTATTTTTAAAGCCATAGAAACTATCATTTTATTTACTATTATACTGTCAATATTTGCTATTATATTTTTAAAACTTTAAAAATTTGTAGATAAACAAAAATGAAAGGAAAATAAAAAAAGCTAGAGAAGGATAGGCAATAAGAATAA